GAGGAAGCGGCTTTCTCGCTCGATTACTCTCTGGATTGGCTGCGAGCTGCCGGTGCCCGCTAAGCAGCAGCTGGGGAGACAGGCTCGAGTGACCGCGCGGGGATGGGGCATGGCCAGACGCTGCTTCAGTGCCCGGGAGACCGTGTGTGCGTGCGCGTTTAGCCTGTGTTTCAGCAGCAGCTCGAAGCCCCATGGCAGTGCTGGTGGTGATGGTGTGGATGATGACAGAGTGGTGATGATGATGGCGGATGGTGGTGGTGATGATGGTGATGGTGGTGATGGCGGATGGTGGTAGTGGTGATGTTGGTGGTGGTGGTGATGGTGGTGATGGTGATGGTGATGATGGTGGTGATGGTGGATGGTGGTAGTAATGGTGGTGGTGATGGTGATGATGGTGGTGACGGTGGATGGTGGTGATGGTGGTGGTGGTGGTGATGGTGGTGGTGGTGATGGTGGTAGTGGTGATGGTGGTGGTGATGGTGGATGGTGGTGGTGATGGTGGTGGTGGTGGTAGTAATGGTGGTGGTGGTGATGTGGTAATGGTGGTGATGGTGATGGTGGTAGTGGTGATGTTGGTGGTGGTGGTGATGGTGGATGGTGGTGGTGATGGTGATGATGTTGGTGACGGTGAATGGTGGTGGTGGTGATGGTGGTAGTAATGGTGGTGGTGATGATGGTGGTGATGGTGGATGGTGGTGATGGTGGTGGTGGTGGTGATGGTGGTGGATGTGGTAGTGATGGTGGATGGTGGTGGTGATGGTGATGATGGTGGTGACGGTGGATGGTGGTGATGGTGGTGGTGGTGGTGATGGTGGTGGTGGTGGTGGTAGTGGTGATGGTGGTGGTGATGGTGGATGGTGGTGGTGATGGTGGTGGTGGTGGTAGTAATGGTGGTGGTGGTGATGTGGTAATGGTGGTGATGGTGGATGGTGGTAGTGGTGATGGTGGTGGTGGTGATGGTGGTGGATGTGGTAGTGATGGTGGATGGTGGTGGTGATGGTGATGATGGTGGTGACGGTGGATGGTGGTGGTGGTGATGGTGGTGGTGATGGTGGTAGTAATGGTAGTGGTGATGGTGATGAGGGTGGTGACGGTGGATGGTGGTGATGGTGGATGATGGAGGTTATGGTGGTGGTGATGGTGGTAGTAATGGTGATGGTGGTGGTGATGGTGATGGTGATGGTGGATGGTGGAGGTGATGGTGATGGTGGTGGTGAGGGTGGTAGTAATGTGGTGGTGATGGTGATGTGGTAATGGTGGTGATGGTGGTGGTGATGGTGAAGATGACGGTTTTCCTTGGCTCTTCCCTCTAGAGAGAGGAGGACCCCCTCAGATGACTGTCTGGCTGCCTTACAGTTTGAGGGGAGCTAACCCCCCTCAGCCAACTGTTACTGACAGGCTGTGCCGTGGCACAAAGGCAGAGATGTCAGCCCCATGGGCGAGCGCTGAGGCCTGGCCTGGCCCCTCCCCGCCCTGAGGTTCAAGGACCCGTCTTGAGTCTGGAGGGAAGAGGGGACAGGCCAGCATGACGCAGGGACAGGCTTCTCTCCTGGGGAGGGATCTTGGCATGGCCTGGAGCCGCGGGAACAAGACGCAGAGTCTCCCCGGAAAGGCCTGCGCCCTGCTTGCCGGGTGGCGCGTCGTGGGCGGCCCCGCATCCTCACCCACGACCCAGCTGGGCTGTGACACTTGCCTGTGCCAGCCTGCTGGGCACACAGGGCGGCCTCCCGGCTCGGCGCCATGTGACAGGGACACGGGCGTAGAGCAGAGCCGCGGGGGGTGTAGGGGTCGCGGGCAGCTCAGGGACTGGGAGCAGGCTCAGGCAGTGGGCCGGGGCAGGCTGTCTGCAGGCAGCAAGGGGCTAGTTCGAACTGACCACTGGTGTCCGCGTGTCCAGCCAGGGGGCACACTAAGCCCTGCTCGGCCTTGCCCACCCAGGCCAGGCTGTCAGGGTCCTTTGTGGCTACCGCCCCTCCTTGCGGGTTCCTTTCCCCCTGGGGTGCTCATCCCCAGGGCACCCTCTGCCCCGCCCCCAGCCTCTGCCTGGGCCTGCAGGCACCCCGATACCTCTGTGCTCCACACACACTAGAGCCCGGGGGTCTGCACAGCCTCACAGGGGCTCTGCCCCCTCCCCAGCTCCAACCAAGCCTCAAGCCCCTCAGTGCAACCCACGCGTACAGCCCCTCACCCTGTGCTCCGTCCCGTGGCAGGACCCCAACAGGGCAGCCAGGCAGGACCCTCTCGGCCAGGCCCAGGAGTCTGTCTCTCCCCTGCAGAGTCACCCGCACTGCTGAGAGCAGTTTCAGTTGCCCAGTGGGTGGGCAGGGAGACCCGAGCAGGCAACTGCTCCCTCTGGGTAGCCTCGCGGTGGGAGTGGCCGGGAGCTCGGGTCAAGGTACTTCAGCGTCCCCAGGGAAAGGCGACCTGCCCCCACGCCCCAGGTCCCCCCCGCCCCCGAAGTTGGGGCATCCGGGGCAGGGGGTGCAGAAAGACAGTGCCAGGGCCTTGAAGGGACTTCTAACACCTTTAATCAGCATCTCCCCTTCCGTTTAGAGCCACAGACAGCTCACCCGTGACCGAGGCGGCCTGACAGCTCGATTTGCCGTGGCCAGACTTGAAACGCAGCCAGTCTGTGACGCTTCAAAGATTCCTGCCACCTCCTGGGCCGGGCCGGCCACCTTCGGGCTCCAACCTCTGAGGGTCCAGGCGGGCAGTGGGCAGTGGGCAGGGCCAGGTGGTCCAGTAGCCTCACACGTGAGGTGGTACCTCTGCCCCAGGAACTGGTAGCATGCAGGTTCTCACATGTGTAATGTGTGAAGGTGCGTGATGGTGTGTGATGGCGTGTGATGGCATGTGATGATGTGTGTACCACAACGGTATATGTGTGGGACGATGTGTGCGTGTGTGACAGCGCGTAGGATAGTGTGTGCTCCTGTGTGACCACATGCATGTAGACGCATGTGACTGTGTACTTTCGTGCCTGCATTATCATGTATGTGACACCTCTTTGTGTGTGCACATGTAACACCATGTGCATGTGATAGCATGTCTACTCTTCCAGGACATACACACGGGTGCTTGTGTGTGGTGGTGTGTTTCCATATGTTACACAGGTAACTGTGTGCACGTGTGGGATGGCAGGTGCATGCCCATGACAGTGCGTGCCCCGGTGTGACTGACTGTGTGTCGCCGTGAGTTGTGGCTGGGGTGTGTGTGTGCGTGTGGGAGAGTGACAGTGTGTGGCTGTGTGGTGGTGTCTGATGGCTGTGAAGGGCTGTTGTGTGACGGGGCGGGGGGCGGGTGCCTCCAATGGTGGGGGGTGTTTGGTCACTGCAGCTGCTGGGGTGGGCAGGGCCATGGCAGGGGGCGTCTGGTTCCAGGTCGCCCCACAGCCTGGGAGGGGGCACCCCTGCCAATACCAAGGCAGCAGCCACTGTGTTCACCCAGGGCCCCCAGGGCCCAGCCCCACCCAGCCGCGCCGCACTCCACTCTGTGGAGCCCGGCAGGAGGCAGGACCCTCCCCAGCTTAGAACCCGGCGGCTGACCCGGTGGCTGTGAGTCCACCTGAGATCCCACAGCCCCGCAACTGGACATGCGAACACAGGGTCCTCTGGTCAGAAAGCGCTGACCAAACACACACATGCCAGCACACACACAATGCACACAGCTACATATACTACCTTATTACGCGCATACGTTCACACACAAACTCAAATGCACATACACACATACTCTCGCACACATATACACATGCACATATGCACACACAAACACACGTAAACACAACTCTCACACAAGCACACATACACATTTGCACACACATGCCACATGCACTCACACCCATGCACAAGGACACATGTACACACAATATACACACACTCACATGAGACACATACACACATGCACACATGAACACAACTGTCGTGCATGCCTGTATATGTGCATGCATGACACTCTCACACACAGAAGCACACGTGCGCACACTCACGCACAAGCACACACATGCATGCACACACACAAGCTCGCGTATGTGTGCACACACTCTGACACAAGCACACACGTGCATGCATATGCACACTCACATGCACAATCACACACGTGCGTGCACACACACACAACATGCGTGTGTGTACACACACACATCCACGCACGTGGGAAGCCACAGGCTGCCTCCCAGGAGCCCTCTCGCAGGCCGCGTGCTTCTTACCCCTGCTTCGATTACGCGGTCCGTTGGCTCCATCCGCGCGGGCGCAAGCTGCAGCGCCCCAGAAGCATCGGACAGGAGCCGGGGGTCTCTGAGCCCCTCACGCGCGTGAGTGACTGGGAAGGGGCTCGGCGCAGCATTCCCGACTCTTCCCACTAGGTGGCAGCAATGCGGCCGCCCGCTGCCCACTGGGGCCCAGCTGCTGCCCGACACGGCGGCCCCACATGGACCGGGCAGGGCGCTCCAGGCCACAGGCCAGAACCAGTGGCGGTGCTCCTCTGGCGGGTGGCCGCCAGGGGACGTGGGGCCTCTCCCGGAGCCCCAGAGACCTGGCCTAGGGCAGGTGTGTTCCCCAGGCCACGGGGTCAGCGGCCGGGAGAGAGGTCCGGAGAAGGGCCCCGGGACCCTCGTGCTCTGCCCGGTGCAGACCCCGTGGCTTGAGGACTGACCGCCCGCCGCTGCCCAGACTTGCGCGGGGCTCTCTGTCCGGTGCCCTGTGCCTCGGGGCTCCGCGCCCGGCTGCGTCCGGGCCCGGGTCCATTCCTGCGGGCTCGGCGTGGCCGAGACACCGGCTGTGGGCTTTGTCCAGCACCTGGAGTGACCTTGCAGGAGAGTCCCCGCGGCCACTCATTGTCCCCCAAAGGTGGGGCGGGGTGGGGGGACAGCTGGAGAGGGGCCAGCGTGCGCCGGGCAGCCGAGCCCGGGGGTCCTGGAGCGTCGGGGTCGGAGCTGTGGGCGCGGGCGTGGGCGCGGGTGGGCAGCGGCCGGCCCGGACCTGGGGTGGGGGAGGCGCGCCCCGGCCGGGCGGCCACGCGGGCTCCGGTCCGGCCAATCCGGCGGAAACTTCGGCGGCCCCCGCCGAGTCCCCCCGCGCCCCCGGCCGCGCGCGCTCCCCGCGTCGGCTCCCCGGGCGGGCTGGGCGCGCCCGAAACCGGGTCGGAACCTCCAGCCGCTGCGCTTGCCGCCGGTTACCGTGGCAACACCATCTCCGGCGCCCGGCGGTCCAATCGGAGCCGGCGGCCTCGCTCCAGCCTTCCCGAGGTGGGGACCCGGCCCGGGCCGGCGCTGGGGAAGGGGCGCCGCGAGGCGGGGCCGGGCCGGGGGCGGGGACGGCGGTGACGTGGCCGGGCCGGGCGGGCGCGGGCGGGACCCGCTCGGGAGGCGCAGACGCTCGCGGGGAGGCGGCCGAGCGGCGCGGGCGGCGGGACCCGGGATCCCCCGCGCCGCCGCCGCGTCCGCACGCCCCGCGCCCCCCGCGCGCCCCGGGCCCGCCTCCCGCCCGCCGCCGCGCGCGCCCCCCGAGCCCCGCCGAGCCGCGGGCGCCCAGCGGCGGCCGAGCCCCCCGGCCCGCGCCCCGGAGCCGGCGGCGCGCCGAGGGGACCCGCCCGCGCCCCTCCCGGGCCGGCCGCGGGGTCCCCGCCCGAGCCATGCGCCCCCTCGGCGCGCCGCCGGCCGGCCTGGAGCCCCGCGCGGCCGCGCGCTGACCCGCGGACCCGCGCCGATGGCCGGGGCCCGCCGCGCCTGATCCGCGCCCCGAAACGTGACCATGTGGCTCCGACAGCTCCTGGGACTCAGGTGAGCGGGCGGGCGGGCCGCGCGGGGTCCCGGGCCGGCCCCGGGGGGCGGCGCAGCGTCCCGGCCGGCCGCCCCGAGCGCCTCCGAGCCGGACCCCACGGCCACTTCGCCGGGGAGCGGCCTCCCGGGGCGCCCGGCTGCCCGGCCGGCCCTGGCGGGGACCCCCGCGCGGGGGCGGCGCGGCGGGGGGAGATGCGGCGCCCGAGACCCCGCGCCCCCCGCCCCGCGAGCGCGGGCTGGCACCGGGGCTGGTCCGGGACCCGGGGCCGCCCGGACCCCGTGCGCGGGGCACCCCAGGGCCCTTCCCGAGAAACTTTGGCCGCGCTGCCGGCCGGGCTTCTCCCCCGCCCCGGCGGCCCGGAGCCCCGGAGCCCCGGGCGGACCCGCGGCTTCGTGCCGGCCCGGTTCGGGTCCGGGGTGGCCGCGGAGCGTGCGGTTCGCGCGTCCGTCCACTGGGCTGCACTGCGCGCCCGCGCTGGGCGGCGGGTCCCGCGCTTCCCCGCGTCCCGCCGGCCGCCCCCTCGCCGCCCCCGCCGCCCCGCGCGCGTCCTGGTTTCCGAGCGATCGAGGGCAGAGCCCGCCTCTCCCCGCGCGCGTGACGGGGCCGGCGCCGTGGGAAGCCGCGAGCCCACGGGCCGCTGTCGCTGTCTGGCCCTTTTCTGGAGATCGGCGCCGTTCCCCACCCCGCCGGGGGCTGGGGGTGTCCAGCGCGCCCCGCCGGGCTCTAAAAGGTTAATCGCCAGACGTGGGCTGGTGGGTATCCGCGCCGGGCCCAGGCGGTACCCCGCACCTGGACTAGATAAGGTTTTGGCTTGGCCTTTCTGGAGCAAAAATGGAGCAAGGACGTCTCTGTCCAGGTGACCCATCCAGGGGCCGCGCCTCCCGGCCCCCTGGTCTCTGCCGGAGTGGGGGGCGCGTTGGGCAAGAGGGTACCCCCATCCGCGCACCGCCTCGGCTTCGCTTCCTGCCGCTGTCTGGCTCCCTGTGGCTGAGGCAGGCAAGTTCTTTGAACCGACATTTTTTTTTTTTTATGACTAAGTTGCTAGATGGAGAGATGGGTCCATCTCGATAAGGAGCAGGAAAGCGAATCCCGAGCCGGGTGCCCCGAGGGCCACCAGGCACGGCAGGCAGTGGCTGGAGGAGAGAGTTCTCGGGCTGATTTTGAAGTTTGACCTTCTGGTTTTTGCTTTCGGTATTAGCACCGAGATGTTCTGTGAGCTCGCCGGGCACCTGGTGGGGACGCTGGCAGGAGAGGGCTCCGTCGTGCCCCGGAGCGCTGTCCCCTGGCCAGGAGAGGGGGGACCTGCGTGTCCCTGCCCGCCCCGGGCTGGCTGGCAAGCTGGACTTGGAAATGTGCTTCTGCCTTGGAGACACACTGTCACCTCCGGCTCCCTAGGTGAGCCTCGGCCCCCTGCTGTGGGCCGGCAGCCTGGCCAGGGCAGGCGAAGGCAGAACCGGAGCCCAGGGCAGGCTCCAGCTCCCCCCGCCCCCAGCCGAGTGCAGGGGGGTTTCTGGGTCCTACGTTTGTTCGTCGCGGTGAGAGCTGAGAGCTCGCTGGCGGAGGCTCTCTCGCTCGGGGAAGCAGATTGCTGAGTTCTTTGTATGCGCTTCTGGTGGGAGTTGCTACCCAGATCCAAAGATACCTTCCGTCAGCAGCGGGGGCCCGGGAGGGGGCTCGGCCAGCAGCTGCCCGCGCTCACAGCTCGGCCCCAGCCCTGCTTGCTCAGCGCCCGCGTGCCGATGCCGTCCGCGTCGGGGCTGCCCGTGGGAGTCCGGGCTGGGCGTTGCTGCTGGGCTGCCCCTGGCCGTCCCCAGCCCCGCCTCCTCCTGGCCCCTGCCTGGGGCCATTCCTCTGTTCCTGCTGGAAGGTTCCATGGCTCTCTGGGCTGAGGCATTCCTGGGGGTGTCGGTCCTGGCCTGGGGACGGACGGGAGGCCCACTGCGCCACGCTCGGGTCTCAGGGCGGTGATGGGCGTGTGGCGGTACCCAGAGCCACTTCAGAGCTGGGGCTAGAGCTGGCACAGATGCCCCTCCCGGGGCAGCCCTTCTGGCCGGGGCCCTCCCAGCGGCTGCCCCCGGGAGCCAGAGCCAGAACTGGCCGTGAGGTGATGATGGAGGGGGCAGGGGCAGATGTGTCTGGACTCGGCGTCGTTGGGGGGATGGTGACATCTTCCGACCGCATGGATGAATCCCTGCCTACACCCACCCCCAGATGTCCAGTGTCCAGTGGAGAAGGAGGGGCGGGGGTTACTGGCACTACCCGCCGGGCCTGTGCTCGGATTCACGTGACCACCTGCCTGGCAGAGGGTCAGCGCGCAGCTCCCAGCCACAACCGCTGCCCGCCTCCCCCCTCCCCGCCCCTGCCAGCTGCCACCAACTCCCGGAGGCACCTCCTGGGGTCCCGGGCCTGCGGGCATGGGTCCGGCTCCTTTCTCCGCCTCCCTGGAGGACTTGTGGGGACGCGGCGGGTGCTGGAGCCGAGTCCCGTGAGGGCCGTGTCACTGGGCGAGCAACCCCCTCCCCCCAGGGCGGGCACCCAGGGGCCGCTCCGGGCTTACGTAAGAGTCATCAGCTTTCCACGCGGACTTGCCAAGTTTTCTTCAAAGGGTTACAAGTCAGTCGAGACCGAATTGATGTAAAGATTAGCTTGGACAGCCAAATATATCCTGCTCCAGATTCCCGTGTTTGAAGTCTGGCTCGGAGGGTTTCTCCTGCCGGCTCCGGGGACACGCAGGTGAGGGGGCGGGGGCCCGGGTTGGCCGACCCTCCCTCCGCACGCCTCCTTCCAGGAATCTGGGGGGGGGCTGTCCTCGGCCACCAGGCAGGGAGAGGCCTCTAGGGAGGCTGGCGACCCCCATGTGTAGGAAGTTGGGTCCACCCTGCTCTTCCCTGGGGTTTGCCCCTGTGCACGAGCGTGGGGTCTCCCCCTCCGCCGAAGCCGCCCCTCCCCATGGTGAGCGGTGGGGGCAGGGGGGGTGAAGGCTGGTTCCCGGTTGGGGACTGCTGAGAGTCATGTTGTCCAGCTGGCCGGCAGCCGGCAGGCGGGTCTGCGTGAGTGTCTCAGGAAGGGGCTGTGACCGTGCAGAGCTGACCCCTGCGGGGGGCGCCAAGGTGGGGGTCCCGGGATGAAGAGGCTGATGGGCGGGGCTCGGCCCTCGCCTGTGTCTCCACGGCACCCCAAGCCTGGGCTGTCTTGTCCACCCCGCCCCGTCCTGCCCAGCCCACTTCCTGCCGCTTCTGCCCCCTGGTTGGCGGGCCTGGGCCTCTGCCACCCACTGCCCATCCCAGGACAGCCTTGGTGGTTACTCAGGCTCTGGGAGGAGCCACGGAGCAGGGCCAGGAGGGTGCCCAGGGGTGCCGTTGCTGGAGGCGCCAGGGCCGCCGTGGCAGTCTCTGCTCTGTCAGCCTGGCCATGGGGTCGCTGAGGTGCAGGAAGGAGCCCCCCGGGGCCTGGCTGGGGTCGCGCTGCCGGCTCTTGAGAGAGACCGTCATGCCAAGCGCCCGCCGCTTGCTCGAGGGTCGTTCCTCTGATGGGCCGTCGGCTGATGACAGACCCGAGGGACAGGCGGCTGCGCCCAGCCGAGGGCAGGTGCTGGGGCGGGCGGGAAGCCGGGCACAGGCCTGGCAGGAGAAGCGGGTGATGGGGCAGGCAGGGATGGCACAGGGAGGGGTGGCAAGGCGGGGGCTCAGTCAGGGGTGGACACGCCCTGGGCACAGTTCTGGCAGGAATGTGGGCCTGGGGGCGAGGTGGGGGGGGGGAGCTGGCCTCCACGACTGTCCCCGGCGGAGCCCAGGGCAGGGGGGGGCTGACCGTGCTCCCGCCGACCGTGGGCAGCGGCGTGGCCCCTCAGATGGGCACACTGCGGGTGCCCAGGGCCAGCGCCGGGCCACCGGAAGGGACCGAGGGTGGGTGCAGCTGAGTCAGTGCTTGCAGGCCCGGGTCTTGCCAACACCGCTACACGCGTGTGCAGACCCGTGTTCCACCGTCACCGCCACACGTGTGTGCAGACCCGTGGTCCCGGCTGCCCAGTGCAGAGCTGGGTCTGGGCTGAGGCTTTGTCCCCAACGACAGCTCAGCTTGTGGGGTCTGTGACCCTCCTGCCCCCAGGGAGCTGGAGAGCTGCTGCCCAGCTGCCGTGTGTGACGCGGGTGTGCGGCCACCACGGGTGCTGTGTGTGTTGAATGTGGGACTCGGGATTGAGTGTGCTGTCTGTTGTGTTGAGTGTGTGCTGAGGGTTGTGTTTTCTGCTCTGTGTGTTGTGTTGAGTGTGTGCTGTGGTTGTGTGTCCTGTGTGTTATGTTGAGTGTGTGTTGTGTATTCTGTGTATTGTGTGTTCTGTGGGTTGTGTTGTGTGTACAGTGGGTTTTGTTGTGTGTACTGTGGGTTTTGTGTGGTGGGTTTTGTTGTGTGTGTACTGGGTGTTGTGTTGTGTAATTCTGTGTGTTGTGTGTGCTGTGTTTTGTTG